AGTGCCCACACATATTGGAATTCCATGCAACTCATATGATCTTGAATATCACTTCTTATTTTACTCCCCGTTCATTAACCACGGTAGGTGCCATTTTCTTATGGAGTGCATACAATGATGTTGTGAGACTGTTGTTATAAGAGCAGTTCCTCCTTAGGTTACTAAGCTTAGGTTGAAGCCTTCTTCCTTACTTCCTGAGCTAGCCTTTCATTGTAGGATTTAGAGAGCATCCTCTGACTCTTGTAAAGTTGTGAGCTTATTACATTGTATATTCGACGGATGTCCTTTCTTGCCTATAATTATCTGTAGTTACTTACTTCCACGCCCTTGTGCTTGTAGGGTTGCTTCTGAATTGATATTTTGATTGTCTTTCCCGTGGCACTCTATTTTATTCCTGTAATACTCATACGGTACCTTTAAGTCCCCCAACTCCTATCTAAATATTTCTCAAGTATTACCATGACATTACTGCGAGGCTGAATTCACTATATTGGGTTTTACTATGATTATCTTGCACGATCTGCTGATTCGTCTGTATCCTCCTGTCTAGCCTTAACTAGGCTCTTCGGAAATCAACTACCAAACTACTCGTTGTCCCATTCTCATATCAATATTCCACATAATCTTTCCTGGGTTATTTCCTTTGTCTTAACTTACCTTTCGCACTGCCTCCTTATTTATCAATAACATCCCGGGCAGGGACCCTTACTTCCTTTCCTTGACGTCGTGTTTGCATAATGTTCCGGAATCGTAGCATATCTGTTGGTTTTGAATAAGTGCAATCTTATCCCTTTCTCATTTTTTGTCGCGTTCTTCCTTTGCTATTCCATAATTACTAGAACCACTGAATTCTGACTTAATTCCACATCACTCCATATTTCCCCCTTTAGGTGAGTACTAAGAGTTGGAGCCACGATGATCTACCTAATGATGTTTTACCTTTTGTTCTTTGGTATCTTTTCACATCATCGATGACCCTTACTTGCCTTGCAGTAATCCTTCTGTACCATGGATAACAAAATTCCTTACTCGCGAGGGCGACACTTAGTATAACTGGCACATACAGTATCTTAAGCTTGACTTTGCTCACATTGCTTGTGTTGGGAAAGCGTCTTCTTGAATGACCATTCTTTGATTTTCTCATGAATCTTCTTCTATTGTCCATTTTATTATCGCCGGAACGAAATCTAAAATTCTCATGATGTCGATCATTATCAAATCATTCAGTCCCTAATTCATGTTTAGTTTATCTTGTTTGCCAGCTCATACTGATTTCTATTACTCTGGAGGTCTAGCTTTTCCTTCTGGTAATTACGTTAGAGTCATGAACTAAAATATCGAAATGAGGATATGACTTTATGGCCTATACTCTTTTGATGTCTCAAGGCCTATCACCTCTCGTTTCTTCCTTCACCTGACTATAGCCTCTGTAATACTGTCATTTTTTTATCTACCGTTGTCATCCATGTATCATATCTTACTCATAATGCTTCCTCATCTCTCTTCTTATTTTCCTGCTAATATTTCTGGCTATCACATTCTTTCGAAGACTTCAACAAGACATTCCTTTGCTTTTAGCTCCCCTTGCTTTATTCATTGGCTCTTCGGGTTGCTTGACATTCTTGCCCTACTAGGGACGGGAGCCATACTAAGATAATATTTATCCCTTCCAGGATTCTAGTGCCCATTTTAGTAGTACTCATATCTAGTTGTACTATTTTAGGGTGCACCATCTGGGTGTCTCACAAAGAGATCTATTAGCATATTTGCACTATCCTTCGAAAATGTCAACTAATGCAAACAATCCATTCACCATTTTGGGTTAATCTAACCCCAACCAGATCCTGATATCTCGTCCTTCTCCTATAATACTTCTGTTAACTTCCATATGACATAATGAGATGGGTGTGGCCATTTGTACGTACCTTTGTTATTGTTGAAGTTAACTCAAAAGGCTTATATTCCTCCGCCAGAATTTGTAAATACTGATAATCTTCATTAACTGGGCGCCTCGTACCCTTGTTGATCTTGCTTCTTTTACTTGTTGAAACTTATATATATCTTCTGAATATCTCATTGTCTTTCACCGTAAGGGCGGATAGATATTCTTGCCTTAAGGCTCCTTCTCAAGAGGCTTACATGTCTTAGTACACACATGATCTACTAAAGACCTTACATTTACTCATCATAAGCATGATGCAGATTCGATTTCCTCCAACTCAACTCTTCGACAGCCGCATTCAGTCCCTTACCAACTGTCTTTCTGGATGTAGGTGTCGTTGTATTATGAATAAAATAGAATTTAGGGACTGCATTCAGCCTCCTGCTTATAATTGTGGTGCACGACACACCCATAAACAAGACTCTACTAGACACATCTTATAGACTCCCTAGGACAGAACTACTCTGATATCACTTTTGTCACGCCCCGAACGTGGGAACGAGACTGGCACCCGGTGCCTCACCTATCCTTGCATACCGATAGTAGCCTATATTATGCGATGTAGATGCTATTTATGCTCTAAATTAACCATACCTTATTGATGTTTTAAGTACTAAATGATAAAAAATGCTCTAATTGAGGTTTTTATGCTTTGCAGGAGCTACTCCGAGTTAGGAGGATAATATAGAGTGTTTTGGGGTCAAAAATGAAGATACAAGGCCAATCGAGAAGAGCCCGGATGAAAATGAGCAAGAAAAGGCGAAGAAAAATTGGGCAACAGTCCACCGCGACCGCAGTCGCACCGCGGCTGGAACGCGGTGTAAGAAAGCAGAAAACAGAATGGTCGTAAATCACCGCGGTCGTGCCACGGTTGTCCCGCGACCGCAGTCGATCTGGAGGAAGCCAAGAAGTTTAAGGGCTAAAGTGTAAAGCGTGGGAAACTTATCCTAACCCTATTTAAACTCAATAAACTCGCCCAAGTGAAGGTTAAGCTTGATTTGAAACTCAATTGGAGGCAAGAACAAGCGTGAGAAGATCAAGACACCATTAGATTTTTTTATTATTCTTCTAGTTATCATTATCTTGTGAATTATGAATGATTTTATGGTTTTATCTTGTTTTACTATGAATAGCTAAACATTTAGTCTAGGGTTGATGGAACCAATTGTTAGATGAAGTTTTGACTCAGTCTTGTTATAATCAAGCCAGGTTTATTATATGATTGTTCAACTATGTTTTGCATGGTGATTAATTTAATGAGCCATTGATTAATCATGTCTAATTGCCTTGTGTTGCTTGAGAAAGAATATTAGGTTAGATTGTTGTTGAACAACACCACTTTTAGGTAATTGAAGAGATTCATTACTTGAATTTAAAAGGGGGGTTAGAGATAACGAAGCTTTGGTGGGATAATTCAAAGCTGCATAAATTATCAGCTAGAGTAGTTCGAGAGAATGCTCTAGTAAATTATCGTAGTTGATCGAGAGATAATTGCGGTAACCCATAGCTCATAATCCTCATAGAGTATTATGGCGAGATTATAGCAAGAGTGTTAAGAATTAATCTAGCAATTGGGGAAATTAATACCCTAGATCTTTTTATCATTGAATAATCTTTAATTTGGAATATTGTTAGTTTTAATATCCTTTTATTTTAGTTAAACAAATCTCACTATTTATTGATAAAAATCTTGCATCCGGAAATTGTTTGAGCTTGTACTAGCATCGCTAAGAGTAGTAATAGATAGGTTAGTTCCCTGAGAATTCGACTCCGGACTTGTAAACAGGATTATATTTGCAACGACCGCTTTGACTGTTATAAGGCATAGTTGGGCGTGATCAAATTTTAGCGCCGTTGCCGGGGAATTAACGGTGTTATTTATTGCAACTTAGAAGTAGTGCTAGAATTATTAGTTTAGATCAATTTTCTACGGTGTTAAATAATTTTTCATTGAAATTCTCACGTTTGATCTCTTGTGTGATTTAGGTGTATGCCTAGAAAATCTTTGAGCACTGGTGAACTGCTTGAAGGACTCTCAGACCCCGAGAAAACACTCAGGGCATTAAACCTTGCCAACAGGAAGAACAAACAATCACAACAAACACACCAACTCGCAACTGAAATGGACAAAAGAGAAAACCTCAATGTGCCAAACGAAGCAGTGGTGGCACCTCTTGTGCCAGAAGCTGCACTTTATGATTGGGCACAGCCAACAGCTGACAACCTGGCCACCGCCATTGCTGTGCCCCAAATACAAGCGGAGACATTCCAGATTAACAACAACATGCTGCATATTTTGTATAATAAGGGATTGTTCTCCGGGTCACACATTGAGGACCCTTAACAACACCTGAAAAATTTTCTGTCAATTTGTGTGACCCAAAGGCAGCCCAATGTGACTCCAGAAGCCATCAAGCTGTTACTGTTCCCGTTCTTTGTGACTGGGGAAGCTCAGACTTGGCTAAATTCGCTCCCAATAAATTCCATTGCCACTTGGGAGGAATTAGTCAAGCAGTTCCTGAACAAGTTTTACCCGCCCAACAAGACTGCAAGACAGATTGATGAGATATTGCAGTTCAAGCAGCAGCGCACTGAGACATTGCAGGAAACTTGGGAAAGATTCAAAGGGATGCTAGTGAAGTGTCCCCACCATGGTATTCCAGACTAGATGCTCGGCCAGAGATTCTACATAGGGTTAGCACATAATTTAAAGGCCAATGTAGATGCTTCAGCTGGGGGTTCATTCCTGAGCAAGACATTCACAGAGTGTAAAATCCTTCTTGACAAGATGGCCCAGAATTCGGGATTGATGTTGAGAGGTATGACCCTGTCACTAATTGTGCATTCAGTTCCTCTTGACCCAAATAATTCACATGCAGAGAACATAGCCACACTCATGACTCAAATGAGTATACTAACAAAGAAGATTGATGAGATGGGTACAAAGCAAGTGCATATCGTTGACACAACAAATGGAGGACTGTGTACACCTTGCATTAATCAGTCTTATGTGTGTTCATGGAGTGGAGAAGGTGATAACCAAGGGTCAAGAGAGGATATGAATTATGTCAACAATTTTGGGGGTCAGAGGCAGGGAGGACAACAATGGGCACCAGCACCCAACCAGCAGTACAGACCGAACATGCCACAACCTGGAGGTATGCGACCCCAAGGCCAAATGGTTCCATATCAGAGACAACAAGGCTATCAACAGCAACACCAGCAACAATTGACATATCAGCCACCTCATCAGCAACAGGACAGCAACATGGTAGAAATCAGGGGTATGCTGCAACAACTCATTGGAACAAATTGTAAGATGCAGGAAAAGTTGGCAGCGCATGACTCAGCAATTAAGGGTATTGAAACTCAACCAGGGCAGCTATCCATGGCCTTGAATAACCGCCCCCGGGGAACATTGCCATCCGACACGAACATTAACCCCAAGAAGCAAAACCCGAATCGGCTAATGGCAGTAAGTCTCCGAAATGGGAGAGATTTAGACAAGGAGAAAGAAGTTGCTCAATCCAGAAGAGAGACTACACCATCCACGCCAATTCCAGTAGAGATAGATGAATCAGCAGAACTCACTGAAGTGGTGGTTGAACAGGCTCAGGTTGATAAGGGTAAGGCTAAAGAAAGTGAACAAGTTGCAGAACAGGTGGTACCTCTTGTGCCACGAAATTCCAACAAAGAACAGCTAGCAAGCAGTGAACAAAGAGTGATGCCTGCACCATTCCCTCAGAGACTGGCAAAACAAAAGAAAGAAGATCAATACAGGAAATTCAAACAAAAGAAAGAAGATCAATACAGGAAATTCATGGAGATGCTTCGCCATATTCAATTGAATATCCCTCTGAAGAATGCTTTGAGGGAAATGCCATGCTATGCAAAAATGATGAAGGACATGATGTCAAGGATATTTAACTTTCAGGACCTGTCTACAGTAACTCTGACACATACATGCAACGCGGTACTGACAAGACCCATGGCTCAAAAGATGCCTGATCCAGGTAGCTTCACTATTCCGTGCACTATTGGAAGTTATGCTTTTGCAAACGAATTGTATGACGTAGGAGCCAACATAAACTTGATGCCCTTGGAAATATATACAAAACTGGGCATTGGCAGAGCCAGACCGACCTCGATGTTGTTGCAACTGGCTGACCGCACGGTTAAAAGACCCACAGGGATTCTTGATGATATGCTGGTACAAGTGGGAAAGTTTGTATTATCTAGCATATCAAAAAGACTTATTAAAATCGCCACCATACGAGACTTGCAAGGCATGCCCGCCAGGGTCCGTATGGCATCTTTGCCTTTCGAAGAATGCCCTTTGGACTTTGTAATGCACCGGTCACATTCCAGCGATGTATGTTAGCCATTTTCACCGACATGGTCGAAGACATTATGGAGGTGTTCATGGATGATTTCTCCATGGTAGGGGATTGATTCGAAGATTGTCTTCACAACCTTAAAAGAGTGCTCAAACGCTGTGTGGAGACAAATTGGATGCTGAACTGGGAGAAGTGCCATTTTATGGTACAATAAGGCATAGTGTTGGGGCATAGAGTGTCCAAAAAGGGGATTGAAGTAGACCATGCAAAAGTTGATGTGATTGAGAAGCTCCCAGCACCCACTTCAGTGAAAGCAGTGAGAAGTTTCCTTTGGGCACGCCAGATTCTACGGGCGGTTCATCAAGGATTTTTCAAAAATTGCTAACCCCTTATGTAAGCTACTTGAAAAAGACCAGCACTTTATGTTTTCTGATGATTGCAGGTTAGCATTTGAGGAGCTGAAGAAGAGATTGGTGACTGCACCCATCATTGTTGCACCCAACTGGGAGCAACCATTCGAGCTGATGTGCGACGCCGGTGATTACGCTATTGGAGTGGTTTTGGGGCAGCGCAAGGAGAAAATTATGCACCCAATTTACTATGCAAACAGGATGCTTAGTGGTGCACAGCTGAACTACACGATCACGGAAAAGGAAATTCTCGCTGTAGTGTTTGCCTTCGACAAATTCAGGTCATATCTTATTGGTTCGAAAGTTATTGTTGATACTGACCATGCAGCCATTAGGTACTTGATAGCAAAGAAGGATTCAAAGCCCCGCTTGATTCGTTGGGTACTGTTGCTACAAGAATTTGACCTGGAGATTCGTGATCGAAAGGGGATAAATAATCAAGTAGCAGACCATCTCTTGAGGTTATAAGGGGCAGAGAAGAGAACGGAGGTTGAAGATATCATTGAGACATTCCCGGATGAGCAATTACTTGCTATGACAATGGAGGAGGCACCATGGTATGCCGATATTGCTAATTACTTAGCATGTGGTATTGTACCTCATGATCTCTCCTCAATTCAAAAGAAGAAATTTTTTCATGATTGTCGTGCGTATTATTGGGATGAACCCCTATTGTTCAAAATATGTGTTGATAACATGATCCAGCGGTGTATCCCCGAGCAAGATCAACCCTCTGTTTTGCAGGCTTGCCATGCTTCGCCATATGGTGGACACTTTGGAGGAATTCGAACAGCAGCAACGGTGCTGGAATCAGGCCTGTATTGCCCTACATTGTTCAAGGATGCCCATGCTTGGGTCAAAAGCTGTGATGAATGTCAAAGGACGGGCAACATATCCCGTCGTCATGAGATGCCAGTGACCACAATCCAAGAGGTGGAAGTGTTTGACGTGTGGGAGATCGACTTCATGGGGCCCTTCTTCAACACATATGGTAACAAGTATATACTGGTTGCCGATGACTATGTCTCCAAGTGGGTCGAAGCAGTTGCTCTCCCAACCAATGATGCAAAAGGGATGACCAGTTTCCTCAAGAAAAACATCTTCACACATTTTGGAACCCCCCGAGCCATAATCAGTGATGGTGGCTCTCTTTTTTGCAATAGAGCATTTGCACGCCTGTTGGAGAAGTATGGAGTTCGCCACAAGGTAGCCTCACCATACCACCCACAAACAAGCGGGCAGGTGGAAGTGTCCAATAGGCAAATCAAATGTGTCCTCTCAAAAAACAGTAAATGCAACAAGAACTGATTGGGCGAGGAAGCTGGATGATGCATTGTGGGCATACCGCACAGCCTTCAAAACTCCAATTGGTATGTCACCATACAAGTTGGTATTTGGAAAGGCATGCCACGTTCCGGTTGAGCTAGAACAAAAAGCACTGTGGGCATAGCGGAAGCTGAACATAGACACGGAGAAAGCGGGCACCAACAGAGTTAATGGGTTGCATGAGCTTGAGGAATTCCGGTTCCAGGCATTCGAGAGTGCTAGACTATATAAAGAAAGGATGAAACTGATGCATGACAAGCACATCTTGGATTGGAACTTCAAACCCGGAGAATTAGTGCTGCTATATAACTCAAGATTGAGGTTGTTCCCAGGTAAGTTAAAGTCCCGATGGTCAGGAATATTCACAGTGGTGCAAATGTTCCCAAGTGGAGCTGTGGAGATTGAATCTGAAGATGGGACGAACAAATTCACAGTGAATGGACAGAGGTTGAAGCATTACCTTGGAATGACTGAAGAAAAAGGGGACAGCGTGGTGATAACATTGGAGGATACCCTGTACACAAATGAGGAGTGATGACATGAGCCTGCGTCGTGCCGCGACGTTAAATCAGGTGCTGCGTGGGAGGCAACCCATTTTTTCTTTTGTTTCTTTTTCTTTTGTATTGATGTTGTACTTGGTGTATACAAAACTAACCCTCTTATTAAAAAAAATTCGGAAGCCCGTGACCGCGACCGCGGCCCGGGCGCGGTGAATTTGAGGTATTCTATTTCTAGGGTACCGCGACAGCGGCGCGACCGCTGTGAATCGCGAGTATTCTGTTTTGTGTTCCTTCTTTCACCGCGACCGTGGTGAATTCGACGATTCTGCCCGCCCAGGTAAGTCTAATTAACTTTATATTTTATTTGTTCTTCTTTTTTTCTATTCTAACTAAATGCACCCCCCCTCCCCCACTTTTCCCACTCTTCACTCTAACTCTAAACCCTAACCCCATGCCCCTTCTTCTTCTTCTTCTTCTTCCCATCTCTTACAAACCCATTCTTTCTCACTCTCACACACACACACACACACTTGCTCCTCCCTCACCCCCTCCTTCCATTACTCTCCACTTCTACAAGAACAAGGTATAGCATGCTTTCCATCTCCCTTCTTGTTCCCTTCTATTTTGCAATTTTAATGTTTGAATTGTTGTAGTATCTGTTAAATTTTTTGTTCTCTTTTCTTCTTTTTTTTAGTGGTTAATGTGTTAAATGTTGTAGAGAGGGGCATGGTGTTGTTGTGTGAAGTTAATTGTGCTGGGGTGGATTTGCGAAGTGATAGTGGTTGATTTTGGGGGAGAGTTTATACTTCCATGGGATAGATGGGTTAAATCATAGTTCCATGCACACAAGGTGCTTGTGGAATTTCCCCAATGGAGCTGTAATGGCTAATGTGACCATGGCGGTGGTAAAGTCTGAGTAACCACCCCGGGTTCACACAACTCAAACCCTCACTAATAGTAACCCTTGTTTTGTCAAGTACAATGCATCACTCAAGAAAATGTCGGGCCACAAGTTCCTCCGCTAGTGGGCTAGGAGGTTCATCCAGAGCTCGAGCTCGGGCTAGTGCGGACCAGTTTGATCGCACTCGGTTTGTCTCCAAAGCGGCTCAAGATAGGTTTAATGCAAAATCATTGAAGAAGCTTTTTCCCAAAGTACACATTAACAGGCATGCCTTGTGAGTTGAATGCCCAAGTATCTATGAAGAATTGAGGAGGCGTCAGCTGGACATCTTCTTCAACGAACCGGAAGAGGGCAATGTGCTGATGGTCCTAGAATTTTACACGAATTGCCCAGAACATGTTGATAAGGTTGTCACGGTACAAAATACCCCGGTGGATGCGTCTCTTGAGGCTATCCGCCGAGTGTACAAGTTGCCGGTATTCACTGGAGAAACAGATTATTACAAGGATTATCAACGCCCACCTGTCTGGTGGCAACCAATTGTTGAAACAATCTGTGTGTCTGGCTGGGATCCAATATGGATTAAGCAGAGAATTACCCTGAATTCCCAATCTCTCACTTGGGAAGCTAAGTGTTGGCTATCAATCATCAACAGCCGCTTGCTGCCATCCAGCAATACCATAGATGTTAATGGGCCAAGCGCAACGGCGATTTTTTGTTTCATGACCCAACACGATTTTAATGTTGCCCGCCTCATACAGGATGAAATGTTTATTTGTTCCCCGGAAATACTAAAAGGGTTCTACTTCCCTTCCCTGGTCACAAGCTGTGTCGTGCCTTACGAGTTCCTAACAATCCCATAGTAGATGGGAAAGTGCCATTAAAAGCCCCATTCAAGGCTAGTAAAATCACAGTTGGGAAAGAGCAGGCTGTGGCAGATGATTATACCGACGATGATGATGAGGGAGATATGCTTGCTGCCGCCCCACAGGTGCAGATTGTTGATAAGGCGGGCCCATTACAGGCTCGCTGGGGCACTCGGATGACAGCTTTGGAATAAGAGATGGCTGGCTTACGCACATCAGCCAATGACCTGAATGCTAGAGTTGACACTTTGGCCACTCAAAATGCCAGGTCCGAGAAAAAGATCATGGGTTGGCTCCGAGCGCTAGGACGAGCGTGTCACCTAAATCCTGGCACCGTCTCCGATCAGGACTGAGCACTAGGGAAGTCCCCTTACCTTACTCTAGTTTAATTTCTTTGACATGGAAACATGCCAAATCTTTAAGTGTGGGGTGGTGGAAGGTTGTTGTTGTTGTACAATTGTAAAAAAAATGTGTTTGGTGTTTTTGCTTGCTGTTAATTAACTTCGACTTGGCCCAAAGACGGACACCTTTCGACGGGTCTCTTGAGGGACTTAAGTTGAACAAAAAAAAATTCTTCTATTAGGTAGTGTATCAACTCCCCCTTGGTTTTTTTAAACCACGGTTCTTTTCCAAGGATTTCCATTTGAACCGGGTGTAGCTAGTTTTTTTTTCTTTCCTTTTGTAGTTTAGGAATTTTTGGGCGAGGAAAGATTAGAAATAGGATCCCTTGACTCCATGGTACCTTCAATAGAGATTGCTTTAGTGTGACACTTAGCCTTATTAGTTGACTCTAGCAATAAAGCCTTAAATTGTGTGTTCTTGAGTTGGATTAAGCACTTTGAGCAGAGTGTCGGATGGTCCTAACTGAATTGAGTCATGTGCCATGTGTGAGTGAGGATTTGTGTATTCTATGCTAACACTCAATACCTAGAACTTGCCCTGTATGTGTACGAAGCGAAATGGTAGTCTTAATGGTCTGGAAAGTGATATAGGCGTTTCCTTGTTGAACCTATCTATATATGTTTTTACCCACCGGAGTGT